AGCCACACAACCTTAATAAAGCATCTTAATTACATTTAAAATTAACCACAACTAGTCTGCTTTTGATTCTGACTGTTCTGTGACCTGAACTGTGCTAACATTTAGTCAGTCTAGGCTGTAGTTACTTTTTCGTTGAGAAAAGGATTGGAACCCAGGTCTTGTGACAAACATAACATCTGCCTCTTGAGGAAGGTGACTCTCCAAATCACTTCTGTGAATCCTGTGTCATTTTCATTACTGCAGCTCAGAAGGAGTTGGACAACATAACTATAAAATTCTCTGTGTGTGTCTGGTGTCACTGTTAATTCAGTGTTCATCTGGATGCATGAGAATTCCTTATTGATGTTTGGTGGTGACTAATTTAGCAGTTGGGCCGAATTGTGAAAATAACATTTTAAGCTCTTTGCAGCAAGATTGCTACATATTTATATTTGTGTTCAGTACCTGGCACAGTAGTACCAGTGGGCTATGTGATAATGTGAAGATTAAAAAACCAAAAAAGACCAGTTTGGCTCAGATGATCCTGTGTCTCCTCTTCCTGTTCTCATTTTAGGCGCAGATGTGGTTGACTGGCTTTACACACACGTGGAAGGCTTCAAAGACCGACGGGAGGCAAGAAAATATGCCAGCAGCATGTTAAAACACGGCTACCTCAGGCACACTGTGAACAAAATCACCTTCTCGGAACAGTGCTATTATGTCTTTGGAGACCTCTGTGGCAGTAAGTTTCCCATCTGTGAAGGGCAAAGCTGCACGTGTGTTCTCTCCTGTGCTCACAGGATGCACAGAGGAGAGTCCTGTAGGATTTCACAAGTGGGTGTTTCAGAACAGGCCATTATTCTGAAGTTGCATGACAAGTAGTTGACTCTTCTTGTTAGACCAAGCAATTAGACTGCTTGGAACAGAAGGATGAACTCATCAAACAGGGCATTGCAGTCAGGCTCAAGGAAACAGGATTTGTTTCTGATACTGCCACAGACTTCCTGCTTGTCAGTCACACTCAGTTTCCAGTCTGTGAAATGGGGATGATTCCACCTTGACTTACAGAAATGCTGCACAGGTACCTTGGTGCTCAGTGGTAAATATTGATGTCTGCCCTACCAGGTGTGATTTTTTGAGTGAACTCTGGAGGCTGAGTTCCTCTGGTCCCTCACCACACTGGGTGCTGTGTCAGCCGTTATTAATACACAGGAGTGAGCTGCGAGGTCAGAGCACAGGCTTCACCTTTTCTCTCTTTTCCAGATATGGCTGCACTGAATCTTAACAATGGTTCTAGCGGAGCCTCGGATCAGGATACTCTTGCTCCACTTCCACATCCTGCTGCTCCCTGGCCATTAGGCCAAGGCTACCCATACCAGTATCCTCTGCCCCCTCCATGTTTTCCACCAGCATACCAAGACCCAGGCTTTAGCTATGGTAGTGGCAGTGCAGGGAGCCAGCAAAGTGAAGGTAAGATGGTTCACCTGGTATTTCTTCCTACAGCTGTCATTATGCCAAACCATTTGCTTGAGTTCCTTCCTACGTCTGTGCTCCTGTCTTGTGGTTTTGTATGCTACCTGCATGGATTTGGTGTGACCGCACTTAATCAAACCGTGTGTGTGTTTGTGTGTGATGTGGTGGGTTAGCCTTTCAGCTCTGTATGGAAACTGCCAGCTGAGTCAGTGGGACAGAATAGAACCCATACTGTTTGTAGTTAACGCTGTAGTTCTGTACCCCATGCAAAATGCCACTGGGAAACTAGAGCCAAGCTGTTTGTCATGTCCATGGTGGCACGAGCATCTGTACTTTTCTTATCCAACAGCACCACACAGTAAACATTAATGACTCAGTTGTCCACCCTGTTAAAACAGATCAACTGTTGCCCCCTTATTTAGAGGTCAGAGCCATTGCTGCCATAGCAGCCAAGAGTGGGGCTGCAGTCACTTGATATCGCTAGAAATAAGGCCATTTCATTGCTGATGGAACAGGGATTAGAACCAAGGTGCTTTTGGCTTTCACTTCAATGCTCAGTACAAAAGGAAAATCACTCTCTTTGCTTGTGTGAGACAAGTGTGAGGTGGCCAGCCAGATGGTTTACAGGGCTGAAACACTGCTCACAGGGAGGAGAGTCTCTTTTGTAATATATGACAGGGAAAAAAGATAACACTGCATGGATTTAAAACCTGACCTCCTCCTTTCCTGCCCTAGGATAATTTTGTGATTAATTTTTAATCCTTAGTAAATACAAAACTATGTAGTTTTTGGCTGTACAGATTTTTTTTTTAATCACTTCCAGAGTGAGTTTTGCTTTTGGAAATGCTGCCAGTAAAGAAAGGGCGAGGATTCTCTATGTTTTTGGGGTGAACATCCAGTAACTTGGATGTAACTTCTTTCTGTTTAATGCAGCCAGTTAGATTTTGCAAAATTGTGCAAAAGAATTTCATAACAGGAACTCACTCATAAGATTTTAGCACTGTTGCTTCCCACCTTATCTCAAAATAAGAAGTGTCTGTGAGGAAGCTCATAATGGTATCCAGAGGCTTTAGAACTTCAAGCTGACTGTGCTGGAAAGAATGTGATCATTTTTTTGGCAGCTGGTTCTGTGGGCAGTGGAATATTAGATCTCTGCTGCTGGAATAGGAGAGGTATGGTATTTTATCCATGTGACCTCTGCTACTGGCTAAAGAGCGCCTGCTGAAAGGCACCAAGGTGTTTAATTCTGAAGGGTTCCAACGCTTTCCTTGTTCTTTTGGAAACTACACTTCTGTGTTGTTTCTTGTTTTGTAACTGTTATTCCCTTGTTTTGTTCTGAGCAAGCGTTAGACTGAAGGATTCATAGAGGAATGGCTGACTCTAGGGGATTGGTAAGCTTCAAATGCCTCCATAATAATAATGAATTCACAGCATGATCATTTAGACTCTTGTGACCCAAATGTTTAGCTGTATTTTTTCTTTTTTTTTCTATTTTTTTTTTTCTTTGTAATTGTTTTGGACGCTTGACCTGTCTCAATGCACAGTAGTCCGATAGTGTGGCATTGGCATATCAACCTGTCTGGCCCCTGTGTGACTCTGCTGCAGCAGCTCCAGAGGGAATGGCATCAGATACCTCACTGTCAGCTCAGATGGGAAATCCTGTCACCCCTCTCTTCACTGCTCTTCGTAAAATAAAGAAATACATAATCCCAGCCCCTAATTTATTAATCTGCTGTCATCCATATGGATTGGATTTATCTACCAGTGCCCTTCCACTGGTCATTTACTGAAAGACACTTGAGCACTGTCCAGATGTCTCAGGCAGGTATTAAGAGTGCTGGGACACAAGGCTGCATTGGTCACTCTCAATATAGAGTCTTAGAGTTGGGTTTCTTGTGAAGTCTCTTCTATATGCGATGTTCAATCAGAACTGAAGTCATCTGGTGAGCAACAGCACTGCTCCAGAGCCGAATGTCATGTGTTTTTTGAGATTAATTCATTGTATTTGCTGATGATTATGGACAAAAGCCTAAGATTTGGGTCAAGAGACAGACTGATACTGTGTTCTGACAACCAGCAGATGGGGAGGAAGATCTAGCAAGGTTTTCTGTGATGCTGCAGTTCTGTTCAAGGCTCTGTTCCAAATTAGGCTGCTGATTATTTCGTCTGAGCCACGTCATCCGTCCCTGCTTGTGGTACCAGGGCTTAGGTTATTTTTAAAGGCTTGAGCAGGTTTGCTGTAGGGAATGGCACTGGTCTGAGATCCAGCTTCTCTGCAAAAACATCATCTCTGTTACCATAGTGTTTAGATCAAAGTCATGTCCCTGTTCTGGTAGATGCTCGCTGTACAGGTGGGTAGTGAGAGATCATCAGGTTACAGTCTGAAGAGATGGAAGAAGTAGGAAGGATGGATTTGTTCAAGCTCACAGGATGTCAGTTGGTGAGACAGGAACAATGGAAGGGTCTTCAGTCTTCAGAGCCTCTGTACACTGTCTCTGGAGGTTCTCCTGCCCTGGTCCAGGAGGGTTCATGTGGAAACTTCTGTTCCCATGAAATAAAGTATTGAGGCAGCTGGAGTCTCTGGGGCTTTAGGGGTGGAAATTCAGTGTCCAGCAGTGACAAAAAGGTGAAACTGAGGCACAAAGCAGAGCAGTGTTTTTCCCAGAGCAGGGAAGAGCTGATAGGGGTTACAGTCACCAAATACCACTTCAGAGTCCCAGGCTCAGAACACGACTTCAAGTCCAACGATTCTGTAGTCTGTGTTTTCCATCTATCCCCAGTTTTTCTTGCACTCTGCAGGGCAATCAGCCTTTCCGCTGCTCACCAGGTCAGTCTGATCCTCCCGTCTCTTCTGTTTGCTTGCTCCAGACATCAGCTGGAGCAGACAAAAGGCGATGATCATCTGTAGTTCAGGAAAGGAGCAGCTCAGAATAATTCTCTTCTTCCTGTTTCAGTGACCCCAGTGACTCATTCAGACTCAAAAGCTGGTCCCCTATTCTGGGGGATCATTTTTGGGAAGACAGTCTTGTGCTAAGATGGCACAAACTTAATAAGATATTCTATGGTTTGGTTTCTTGGGGTTTTTTAGTGTATAATTAACTTGGAAATGTCTCCTGACATCATCATCAACTTGGCTTACACACCACCAGCAGCCCTTTGGTTCTCTGAGATGATTCAGTGGCCTCTGCTGGGATCATCCTGCATATTACTGATTCATCACAGAGCAGTTCAGCAACTGTTTTTTGAGGAATTCTCCAACAACAGAACACTGTTGTGATGAATTTTAAAAGAATCTACCCCCTGGAGCCAGCAAAAGGACATCTCTTAGCCTCAGCTGACTTGGTCCTGGGTGTGAGTATGCTCAGTGTGACCAAGTATGACAGAGAAGGCAAAGGAGTTTCTTTTTGAAAAAGTTTTTGCCAATAGGAGATAGCAAAGACAGAGACAATTAGATTGAACCTCGTTTGCTTGAGTCAAAACCCAAACGCCGGCTTCTTCCTTCTGTTTTTGCTCCTCCCCTCTCTCCAGTCAGTGAGGTGGCAGCGGAGCAGATGGCTTTCAGCCAGTAGTTCTGGGCTAGCTGCTGCTTTCACTGTGCAAGCTCTAAGGTGTCTACGTGTACCTGTGCATGGCACAACCTTGTCAGCTTTGTTCTACCAGTTGTCATTGCTGAATCCCATAAGCCACCACCAGCACGTTCAGGCCTGGTTTTGTCATCATTTGTTGCCATTACGATGGTCGTTCCCCGGATCCGTGGATTTTAGTAGGAGGTGATGGGGGAGACGACCGTGCAGCTGAGCTAATTCTGCTTTTTCTGTGTGTTCTTTTCACTTGGGGGGGCTTTAGGAAGCAAAAGCAGCGGCTCGAACCGAAGCAACAGCGAGAACAGCAGGAGAGCTCTTGGCAGAGAGAAGGACCGCAAGTCGGCTGGCAGCGGCAGCGAGTCCGACCACACTGCCCGCAGCGGCGGCGGCACCAGCGTGGTGCGTCGGGAGAGGCCTGTCAGCCAGCTCAGCCACCGGAGTCATGTCTCTGCCACCCACAGTGAGAGAAGCCACCACAGCCATCATTCTTACGGGCCTCCAGGAGTCCCACCCCTCTACAATCTCCCCAAGCTGGGCTCCAAAGTCTACGGGACGAGCGGACCCCCTGGAGGGCCCCCCGTGAGGGAACTGGGCTCTGTTCCTCCAGAGCTGACGGGGAGCAGGCAGTCCTTCCAGAAGGCCATGGGCAACCCTTGTGAATTCTTTGTTGACATCATGTGAGAGGAAGTGCCTTCAGACTCTGCTTGGGGAAGGGCCAGGGGCTGGGGGGGTGGAGATTGTTTTGGGGATGGATGGGCAATTTGGTCGTTGTCGAACACTTAATGGAAGAAACTTGGCTGTCGTGCATGTCACACTTTCCTGGTTTGCCATTGTGTTGCAGAAAAATCAACAAAACAAAACAAAAAATACAACCCCCCCTCCCCCAAATGAACAACAACAACAAAAAATCTCCTGGGATTGTGAAATATGAGCAAATTGATGGCATCTTTTCTTTACTTCCCCCCCACACACCCTTGTTTTTGATTGTGAATGGCTGGTGTATATTCACATCTTAATGAGCTTTGGTAATTGTGGCACCTACTTCAATGCAATCAGTATGTCTTTTTGGCTGATTCAAGGACTATTATTTCACATGACTTCTAAATTTCCAATAATGCATAGTAGCACTTTTATTTTTCCCTGCTTTTTCTCTTACAAGGAAAAAAAAATGACCGTGGCCAGTATCTGTGATACTGCCTTGTAATGCTGTTTCTTGGATGAATCAGTCAGCGCTCTAAGCAGACGTGGCACCCACCAGTGTACAGACAACACGTGCTTGGAAAGGAGCAGGCTCAAAGCAATTCCTAGCAGAAGGCAAAATTGTGGCTACCTTCTTCTGCTGACTAGGGAGTATCAATCAATCTGACTTTCTTTCTTTCTTTCTTTCTTTCTTTTTTTTTTAGAAATTATTCTATCGAGGGTGTGGTGGAGTCTTGCTACTGTATGTGTTCATTGTGCAGAACTTGTAAAGTTATTTCATTTAGTATCATGGTAGTAGTGACTTTGTAGCTGCAAGTCTATTCCTGGGCATTTCAGTCACATCCCTGCTGACAGATGTGCCTGTTTCTCTTGGTTATAATGCACACTTGCTTACAGGTTTTAAAAGTTGTTTCCACAGAACTAGGACAATGGCTGCTGTGCAATTCTGTTAGTGTAGCTGCAGCTTTTCCCTTTTGAAGGGGATTTTTATCCCATTCTGGCAGGTAACTCCTGGCTCCCACTGGGACATAGCTCTTCATTTTGATCACCTCTTTTTCCGTTCTTAATTTCTAAGCAGTATCTTTCTCTTTTTTTTTTTTGAAATAGAAACCTGGAGATGTCTCATCCCAATTGCAGTGTTACTCAAGGGAACATGTTCTCAGCACAGATGGAGGCTAGCTGTTAGCAGAGAGGTGAGGAGGTGTTTGGAGAACAGTTCATAAATGGTACAATGAATGAATCTTTATACCTGACACAGAGCGAGACCCATGCTGAAGCTCCTGCTGCGGAGCTTTGACTTTAAGCAACTGCTGTTGTCTATCCCCAAGATTTCATTATGGTGTATTTTTCGCTCTAAGGCTGTGGACACTTGATAAATTATGTTCAAGAACCTTCACTGGCATTTAAGAAGCTTTTTTTTTAAGTATCTGAATGAGGGCATGGTAAGAGCACACCCACACTCTGTTACAGTGGCTCATTTAATGGGAAATCTGTGTTAAGCTGCAGTCACTCAGCGACGTTTGACCATGGGGCCATGCCTCAGTTAAATCCTCCTTTGTGAGATACCTGCTTCTGGCAGGTTTTAGGACAGGTGCTTTAAAATTAGTCTTTACTGTATATAAGCATTTTCTTCACTGGTAAGAAGCTTCTTTTTGTTCTGTTCCATGTTTTATGGGTAGTGTGAATATCCGATATGAATGTCAAAAGAGAACGTCTTTCTCACTATATACATGTAGTTTCCTGTTCCTTTGTCACCCTGAAAAATTACTCTTCAAACTGTCCATTTTGTCTGTCTTTCATTCTGAGAGACTTTTCACTTCTTTTCTTATCACAGGTCTGTGTGTAAACACATCCCTTTTACAAAAGTCAGAGTAACATTTTCCAACGTCTGTGTTAATTGGAGACTTCAGTCTCACGTTCAGAAGGGAGCTAGGCATTTAGGAAACTGTGTGGCCCTCAGACTAGGCGCTCCAGTTAGTGGGCTTCTAAACTAGCCGAGGGGTTTTGAACAGTTTTCTTTCCAAAAAATCTCCTGAAAAGCTACAGAACATTTCTGAAAGCAGTGCTTTCATTGTGATCCATCTGATGGGCTAGCATAGATTGCAAAGTTGGTGATGGCTTGTTCAAAAGAATGGCACTACTTAAAACTTGACTGTGTGACAGGATCCTTCCTTTTCCTTTCCTCCTCCCAGTAACACAGCAAAGATGCTAACTCAACTCAGTAAAGCATTTTGAAAGATTGCCATTTGAAGCAATGAAATAAATCAGGGTAAAATAATTCTGTAATTCTGCTGCGTCTCCAGGAGACACTGTTAAGGAGTCTGTGACTTTACTGACAATCACTAGTGGTTCTACTTTTAAATCAATTTTAACTTTTCTGGTCTCTAATATATTACGATTTTTTTCTGGCCCACTTTGTCTTAAGGCAGAATTTACAGGGCTGGAGGAAAAGGCTGTAATTTTAATAAGATATTTCCAAGAGTGATTAAAGCTGGGGGCTGAGCTTTCACCCGTGGAAGAAATGTGTTTAATTTCCTCATGTCTTTTCAAGAGTTGGAGTTTACACACCTGCTGGGTTTTTTTTGTTTGTTTGTTTCTCTTGTCGTTATGCTGTTGGCAGAAACTGTTGTGTGTCTTGCTGGTCTTTGCTGCTATGTTGAAACGACTGTGTTATGTACTTTACGTGTTTGTGGGTAACTCTGGAATGAGGCTGACAGTCCATAATATAGGTGTGGGAAAACGTTTGTCTGCTGAGGAAATCAGGCTGCTCCATCCAGCCTGAACTCGCTGCACCCACAGTCAGGCATCCATTTCAGGCTGATAACGAGTGCTCTGAACGTACTGACAGATGTGCTGGGTGGTGAACACTGTCCTGTGTGTAGAACCTGCTATTTACAGAGGGCAGCAGGAGAATGTAAAGGACCCTTCTGTGAACAGTGCAATAGGTAATGGCCACTGTGTGTAAAACAAAAGCGTCATTTCCCCGCCTTGTAGCCTACAGTGGAGAGAGGCTGGTTGGAGTGAATGGAAAGTTAGGCCTGAAACGTTGCTAGCTCTTAATTTTCAGAAGTGAATGAAGACAGGAGATTTCCCAAATCCCATCCTTGGCTTTCAATGCATGTGCATGTGTCTTTGCAACAAGGAGGCCTAACTGTGCAAGTTTCTCCTGTTGGGTACAGTACTACCTGCAGAAAGAAGTGCTGCTGACGCCAGGGAAGCCACTTCCAGTAGGAAGTGCTGTGCCAGGTGGAAGACAGTGTGAAGGCTGGAGTCCTGCAGAACTCTTTGTTTCTCTCACCAGGGCCTGAATTTTTTTTTTTCTCAGATTTTAATGTCAAGTAACTGGCACTGGCTGGGCTCTAGAATCTGACCGATGCCTCTAGCTGCAATGAGAAGTGATGGGTTTGCTGTATAGGGCATTGAAACAACCTCATAACAGGAGCCTTAAATAATTGACATTTTTATTCTGGAAGTGAGACCCTCAACATGCCTGTGCTCTGCAGCTGAGCTTCACGTGCGTGCTTTTACCTACCAACAGCTTTTAACAAGGACTTTTTAACAGGTATGTTTGGAAGATCATAGAAAATGATGAGAAAACAGTTTGGGATGACGTCTCCTATCCAAAGGAGGTAGTACCTGTAGGGGTAGTGTACCCACCCGGTATATGAACTCTGAGGAGTAAGTTTTTTGGCAAATAGTCTTAAAAGCACTGCTATTGTCTTTTACCTCCTGTTAATAAATCTACTTTTCAAAGGTAACAGTCCCCTGGACACTTTATCCAAAGGTTTATTGGATGGCAAGCAATGATGCACAGACATTGACTTTTGATATTATTTTTGTTCTATTCAAATGGGTAGTCCCATCTCGAGACTTGACAGCTCATGAGTTGATGTAATTGTTTTTTTTTTTTGTTTTGCATTTAACTGGATTGTAATAAGATTGACTTAAAATTATTAATTCTAATCAGTGATTAGAAATACATGTAAAGAATTTTATGTACAGTAGAGGAACAAAGTTACATGATTTTAAATAATGAAAACCCAGACTATCACCTATTCTAGAATTGGTTCTACTCCAAGAGTGACCTCTTACTAGCATGGACTGCACTGTTCCTGTTAAATGTCTATTGCATAATTGAATTCTTTTTTGTAGATATTGTATTAAAACCCAAGTGTCTGTATAGTTAATATATAGCTGCTTATGTGTAAATGCTATTTTAAACACTAAAAAGCTTTTAATTTTATGTGATAACCACAGTGTATGTCTTCAGTTCTTTGCACTACTGCCTTATCTTTTATTCAAGAATGATGAAATATTGGTTGAATCTTGCTCTTTTTTTTCTTTTTTTTATTTTTGCTCCCTGCCACATTGAAGTTTTGTCCTCTCGACAGGAGAAGATTGTTGAGGAGCTAATGATAGGGAGTTACCTCACAGCTGGGAGTTTTGTGATTTAATGGTACTTCAGAAGTGCTTAGAGTTCAAAGTATGACAGGAATCCTGTAAATGTTCACAGCTGAACTGGGTCACAGATGATTGAAGTGCAGAGGCCTGACTCTTCCATGCAGGTTAATGACATCTGACTGGAAACACAAGACCCTGCCATTCATCACAAGTGCTGTAGCTTTGAGCTAATGACTGATATATTGGTGCAGAAGTTGTGCTTTCCCCTTAAATTGCCCTACCTCTTAATTATTGAGCTTCTCCCTCTTACAGCTTGACAGGAGTAGGTATACAGGAAAGGCTGAAGAAAGTTTGTGGAAGTAAAAAAAGGTAAAAAGACAGCTGAAGGATACATCCTGTTACAAAGACATGAGCTGGAACAAGTTTTCTTGCCTGCAGACCCAGGAGATGAGTCAGCTAGTAGAACCTGTCAATGTATTTCAGCTGTTTCTTGTGAATATTCCCTTTTTTGGGACTCTCCTCACAAACTCCAGCAGAGACAAGCTAGGATCATTAGGACACCACTTTGCAGACTAACTGGT